AAATTACGTGTGCACAACTTTGACGCCATGGCGCTGCGCACTGACGCACTTTTGGTGCGCAATTTTTTAAAATTTTTATTAATTATTTCATTATTTATTAGTTTGCCAAGTTTCATCCCAATCGGTTATGTTTTAGGTAAATGACAGCGGCAAGTCCTCATCGTACTCTGATCGTCGACTTTTACAAGCGAGGTTTAAGCACAGGAGACATTTCTAAACGACTCGGAGTGCACCGAAACACGGTTTTCGCGACCATCCGTCGTTTCAACCAGCTTGGCCACCTCAAGGACCGTACGGGAAGAGGAAGACCGAGGACTGTAAGAACTCCAGCGAAAGTCAAGGCCGTCCGGGAGAAAGTCAGGCGAAATGCTCATCGTTCCATGAAAAAGATGTCAGATGACATGGATATCTCCTATACATCAATGAGGAGAATTGTCAGAAAAGAGCTGAAGATGACCTCTTATCGAGCACAAAAGCTGCTATTCTATCCCAAGCCAATAAGGAGAAACGGCTCATCAAAGTGAAGCGCCTTCTCGCTGGCACGCGCAAAATGGATCATCTTATCACCATCTTCTCGGACGAGAAACTCTTCAGTGTCGAGGCTGAATTTAATAGCCAAAACCACCGAGTGCTGGCCACAATATTCAACAAGCAGCTGAGCGTGGTAAAACAATCCATCGAGCCTCTCATCCTGCGAGCATCATGGTTTTCGGAGCGGTTTGCTATGATGGGAAGTGTCCGCTTGTTTTCGTTGATAAAGGCGTGAAAATCAACCAAAAATACTACGTTGAGGAGATTCTGGAGAAGCATGTGCTACCGTGGGCTCAAAACCACTTCGGTCAGAAGAAATACATCTTCCAGCAAGATGGAGCGCCTGCTCATACCGCAAAAATGGCTCAACAGTGGTGCAAGGACCACTTCCCCGCCTTCATACCAAAGGACGAATGGCCGGCTTCGTCGCCTGATCTGAACCCGCTCGACTACTCCGTATGGGGAGTTCTGCAGAATAAGGTCTGCGCAAGACCTCATGCAAATATCGAGGCCCTGAAGAAGTCGTTGTCTGAGGAATGGGACAAATTATCCGTCGAATACCTGCGTGCCACCATTGATGCCTTCCCTCGACGACTTCGTGCCGTGGTCGCTGCCAAAGGAGGTAGAATCGAATAATTTTTGTTGAATTATGATTTCAAGCGTTGAAATAAACTATCTGTTAAATTTCGTCTTAATCTCGCATCTACTTCTGGAGATAACGTCATCTACACTTGCACACGTAATTTTGGCGGACCCTGTACATCATAAGCCATTGCCAACTCCTGTGGCAGCACAACCGGCGTACACTGAACCATCGGCCAGACACCTGCAGTCAGCACTCTTAACGATATATCAAAAGGGAGTTTCTGCCCTTTTGGCCCTTCAAGCCAGTCCCTGAAGCTGTTGGCCAATTCACGATCATTGTCGAAAATTTGGAATGTTTTGTTTTCTTCAATACTCTCCAATTTCAGCTTTAATTCTTGCAATTCTTCGCGAAGTTTCTCATTTTCTTCATTCAATTTTTGACGAATATCACTGAATTTCTCATTTTCTTCTGTCAGGATATTGATTTTTTCGTTTTGCTCTTTTTGTATTTTTCTAGAATCCTCCAGTTCTAGAAGAGTTCCCTCATGCACATCTACATAATCTTCAAATTGTTTCTTTTGAATTTCGCGCTCTTTTTCACACCAGCAAACTCTTCCGTCAACTTCGCGATCAAAATTTCTCGATTTTCCTGTTCTTGGCTTTTTTGTGAAGTCAGATTTTCTTCAAAATCCTCCAATTTTCGCTTCATTTCTCCCAATTCTTCGCGAATTTTTTCATTTTCTTCATTAAATTTCCCACGAATTTCGACAAATTTCTCATTCTCTTCTGTTAGAATATTGATTTTCTCCTCTTGCTCTTTTTGAATTTTTCTAGAATCTTCCAGTTCCAGAAGAGTTCTCTCATGCACAGCTACATAGTTTCCGAATAGCTTCTTTTGAATTTCGCGCTCTTTTTGATTCTCGACGAGCTCTTCTGTCAAATATTGTTGGCTTTTTTGCGACGTCAGATTCTGAAAAAAACATTATTTAACTAGAACTGTGCCCAAATGACAACCTCGATAACAATATTTTTCACTTCATGGAGTCCAGTTTGAAGCGCTTGAATTTTCGACAACAGCATTTTATTAGTATCTGTCATTTTCTAACTGAAAATTTCTTTGAAAATGCTGGAATTTCCGTGAAAAGAGTTATATTAAAGTTGAAGAAATAATGGAGAGAAAACCAATAGATAAAGTAAATCGCAGAAAAATACAGTACTGAAAAGAAAATGGTTCTTCATTGAAATAGGTCGAAATGGGAAAAAAAATATCATTGGGTAAGATAATTTTTCTAGAAATATGAGTTGGAAACAAACAGTGTAGACTCCTTTTGAATATTGTAATAGAATAGTGTGCGAGTGTCATTCAACGGCTTTCCTGGAAAAAATAAGTTTATCATCAATTTTTATCGAAATTTTCAGTACCCTCTATAGACGAGAAGGAAATCATTACACAAGATTCCTTTTTTGCACATTTTCTCCTTCACATCTACAATTGTATCGGATTTTTTAACATCCAAAGTGATATATCTTCTGATTTTAATGAAAATTTGGAATGCTTTGTTTTCTTCAATATAAATATATATTTCAATTTCCATAAGAGATATCGAAAATCTGTGATTGATAAAATATTGGGAATATTATGATAACCAATTTATCAGTTGACAAATTTTTAATATCTCTCACAGAAATCGATATAATTAAGCTCAAAAGTTATGGTTTGAGTGGGATGCTATTAAAGGAAATACGGTAGTTTTAGAAGAAAAAAACTTTTTCAAAAATTCAAGTATTTCTCACTGTTAGTGAAAAGGTATGGATAGCCAATTATCTGATTTATGAGTTACACCCCTTACCATACTTGTAACGGGCCGGGCCGAGCCGGGCCTGGCTTTTTCCCAAATTTTGGAGGCCCGGCCCGGCCCGGTGGGCCTGTCATTCCACAAGTTTTGAAAATTTCAAAAAACACATAAGGGGGGACCCTTATGTGATTTTTTTTCGATAAAAAAATTTTTTTCGAGTTTTTTAGAGCAAACAGACAAACAATCCAAGAAGCACAAAAAATATAAAAAAATGTATTGAGAGCTCAAAATTCGGTTCAAAATGACAAAATTTTTGGTACCGGGCCTTCCGGGCCGGGCCCTGGCCTTGAAATTTTCCTCAGGACCGGCCCGGCCCGGAATTTTCAGAATTGCAGAATCCACAAAAAATTTGAATGAAAATAACAAATCAGAATTTGAGAGATTAAAGTTAGAAAGAAATCGAAATTCGGAAAATTCAAAAAAAAATGGAATTCAGAAAGCTGAAGCAAAAACGAGTGATTTGTAAAATTGAGGTCAATTTCAAAAACGTTTAAAGTTTCGAACTTTCGTCCTCGTTTTGTGATTGAAAATCAATGTATGTTATCAGTTGAATGTACTCTCTTGCTAACTCTTAAGTTATCTACTGTCATCTGTCACCAATTTCCTTTCTTTTCTTCTTATCAGTTCTGTAAATATTTTGATTTCGAAATATATGCTATTTTAATTGTGGCGGTTGTCCTTTTTGATTTCTCTGAAAGTGCTTTTTTTCAGCAAACTACTATTCGAAGAATGCTAAAACTCAGAAGTTGAAATTTACGACATCAACTTTGAAGATTTTCAGAAATTTCTGGAGCTTCTCTACGGAGAAAGGTCAGTTGATGGTGAGATACAGTAATCGAGGGTACAGTAATTTTGATTTTTTTGAAAAATCTGAGAAAATTTATATAAAAATTTTTTAAAAATGTTAACAGAGAAAATCGATCAACTTGGGATTAAATCCAACAAAAAAACAACAGGAGAAATGAGAATATCAACAAAAAGAAATTGACTTTCTGAGCAGTTCGCCCATTACATTATGATCCAAATCGTTGATATTTGCTGGGAGGACGGATCTGACATCTTCAATTGTCTTGATTTTTTCCATGCAATTATTCTAGAAAAAACTGTTTGTTTATTAAAATTTTCAACGGTTCTACCTTGAGATTTTCCAGATGATAGCGTGTGGCCATTTCCAGTTTCTTCTTCAACGACTTTTTCGATTCCTTCAGAAGAAAATTCTCGCATCGTCTGGTGGCTGTTTTCGCATCGTACATATCAGAATAATAGAAGCTTTTACCATCAATAGCAAGTTCGCCGTAAAGAACTTCAAGGAAATAGTGAAAATCATCTGGATCAATTCCAGTCAGTGTCACTTTCAATTTCTTGGATTCTGCGAAATTTCCGAGCAGCAGAGCTTTGAAGAATGACGACTGGGCAGCGAGAAACTAGAAAAACTATATTTATTGAGAATTCTATATCAAAATAAATCTCACTTTTCTCAAAACGTAAAACTCCTTTTTGTTAACGACAAGGATCACATCTGAATCGTCTTTATTTGATTCATCAAATTTTCGAATATTCTCTTCGCTGAATCCAGAAGATTCGATGATTTCCACATGTCTATCTCTCTATCTCTCTCTCTCTCTCTCTCTCTCTCTCTCTCTCTCTATCTCTCTCTCGCTCTCTCTCTCTCTCTCTCTCTCGCTCTCTCTCTCTCTCTCTCTCTCTCTCTCTCTCTCTCTCTCTCTCTCTCTCCCTCTCTCTCTCTCTCTCAGATGATTTTCTTACCTGGCGGTCTCCAGGAAAATCAGTAGTCTTATAGTCAGAAAAATAAAAAATGAAAGTAGACTCCATTCAGTTAGGTGTCTAAGAATACAGGAAGAAGGGTGGAATTTCGACAAAAATAGAAAAAAATAGCTCCATTCATTTAAAGGAGCTAAAAATTATTAGGCGCGCACATTGCGCCATTTGAAGAGTAGAATGAAATGACTGATGGAGGACGATGGGCGAACGGAAAACGAGGGAACATGGAAGCTAGAGACAACAAAGATGGGAGAAACGCAGAAGTCTTAGAAATTGCATATTGAGAGGAAATGAGACGCAGCGTTGTCCTGGTACTAACAGACTAGTTGCGTTTTTGCTTGACACAATCGCGAACGGTTACTCAACAGATGACCGCAACGCCGACACGCGACGTGTCCAAAAATCGAGGATCCAATATATTTTCTTTTTCAAAATTTACCCAGAAATACCTATATTTCGAAACATTCTGTGTTTCTGAAATTCCAAGATTTTGAAATTCTGAAATTCTGAAAATCTGAGATTCTGAAATTTTGAGATTCGTTGAGGTTATGCAGATTATTTTCTGAAATTCCAAGATTCTGAAATTCTGGAATTCTGAGATTTTGAGATTTTGAGGTTCTGAGATTCTGAGATTCTGAGATTTTGAGGTATTGCAGATTTTTTTTCTGAGATTCTGAAATTCTCAAAATCTGAGATTCTGAAATTCTGAGATTTTGAGATTCTGAGATTCTGAGATGTTGAGATTAAGAGATGATGAGATCCGGAGGTTTAGAGATTCTGAGATTTTGAGGTTCTGAAAAGTTTTTTTCTGAAATTCCAAGATTCTGAAAATCCTAAATTCCAAAATGCTGAAATTCTCAGATTTTGAAATTCTGAGATTCTGAGATTCTCAGATTTTGAAATTCTGAAATTCTGAAAATCTGAGATTCTCAGATTTCGAGATTCTTCGAGAATTTTTTTTGTAACTCTCAGTAACCTCCATAGACGAGAAGACAATTATTACAGAAGACTCCTCTTTTGAACAATTTCTTTTTCACATCTGCAATTGTATCGGACTTCTTCATATCCAAAGTGATATAATGTCTGATTTTAATGAAAATTTGGAATGTTTTCTTTTCTTCAAAATCCTCCAATTTTCGCTTCATTTCTCCCAATTCTTCGCAAAGTTTCTCGTTTTCTTCATTCAATTTTTGACGAATTTCAATGAATTTTTTATTCTCTTCTGTCAAGATATTGATTTTCTCCTCTTGCTCTTTTTGTATTTTTCTAGAATCTTCTAGTTCCAGAAGAGTTGGCTCATGCACAGCTACATAACTTTCGCACAGCTTCTTTTGAATTTCGCGCTCTTTTTGATTCTCGACGAGCTCTTCTGTCAAATATTGTTGGCTTTTTTGCGACGTCAGATTCTGAAAAAAACATTATTTAACTAGAACTGTGCCCAAATGACAACCTCGATAACAATATTTTTCACTTCATGGAGTCCAGTTTTAAGCGCTTGAATTTTCGACAACAGCATTTTATTAGTATCTGTCATTTTCTAACTGAAAATTTCTTTGAAAATGCTGGAATTTCCGTGAAAAGAGTTATATTAAAGTTGAAGAAATAATGGAGAGAAAACCAATAGACAAAGTAAATCGCAGAAAAATACAGTACTGAAAAGAAAATGGTTCTTCATTGAAATAGGTCAAAATGGAAAAAAAAATATCATTGGGTAAGATAATTTTTCTAGAAATATGAGTTGGAAACAAACAGTGTAGACTCCTTTTGAATATTGTAATAGAATAGTGTGCGAGTGTCATTCAACGGCTTTCCTGGAAAAAATAAGTTTATCATCAATTTTTATCGAAATTTTCAGTAACCTCCATAGACGAGAAGGAAATCATTACACAAGATTCCTTTTTTGCACATTTTCTCCTTCACATCTGCATTGTATCGGATTTTTTAACATCCAAAGTGATATATCTTCTGATTTTAATGAAAATTTGGAATGCTTTGTTTTCTTCAATATATATATCCTCCAATTTCAACTTTATTTCTCCCAATTCTTCGCGAAATTTATCGTTTTCTTCATTCAATTTTTGACGAATTTCAATAAATTTCTTATTATCCCCTGATAATATATTGATTATTTCCTCTTGCTCTTTTTATATTTTTTTTGAATCTTCCAGTTCTAGAAGAGTTCGCTCATACACATAAACATAGTTTTCGAACAGTTTCTTTTGAACTTCGCGCTCTTTTTGAATCTCGGCGAGCTCTTCCGTCAACTTCGCCATCAAAATTTCTGGATTTCCCTGTTCTTGTTGGCTTTTTTGCGAAACCAGATTTCCTTCAATATTCTCAAATTTTCGCTTAATTCCTCTCAATTCTTCGCGAAGTTTATCGTTTTCTTCAATCAATTCTACACCAATATGAAGGCAATACTTATTACCTTCTATCATCATATTGATTTTTTCCCTTTGCTCCTTTTGTACTTTTCTAGATTCTCCTAGTTCCAAAAGAGTTTGCTCATGCACGTCGACATAATCTTCGAATTTCTTCTTTTGAATTTTGCGCTCTTTTTTCAGTTCTTCAGTTTGTATCGATTGATTTTCTAGAACTTCCGGAGACAGGCAATTTTCACTTACTCGAATTCCTCATTAATTTTGGACATTTTAGTGCTGAAATCACTGAAAAATCGATGAAAATCGTGAAAAAATTATACAGAAATTTAAACAAAAAGGGGAAAACCCGATTTTAATCGACAAAAAAAGCGAAAACATTAAAATTGCTCTGACTGCGACAATATATGAAATGTATAACAATAAGGCACTCAAAATGCATAAACTAGAGATTTCGGTTGAATTTTGTAATCGGCGATGGTGAAATTGTCCTGGAGAATGTGACCTAAAATATCGATTTTTTGAAGTTTTTCAATTTTTTTTTGTATTTTACCTCCATAGGTGAGTCTCAGAATTTCCAGAGGAATTTTCGATTTTTCCACGATTTTCGCTTTCACATCGGCAATTTTATCGATTTTTCTGACTTCCAAAGGGATATCTTTTCCGGCTATGACCATAATTTCGAATGCATTTTCTTCGGGAGTTTCGGGCAAAATTTTCACTTTTTTCAGCGCGTTTTTGATTTCATCGATTTCTTTTTGGATTTTCGCATTTTCCAGAGCGATTTTCTGTCGGAGAATATATCGTATATTTTGCATGTCTTGAGTGATCATAACGATGACGTTATTTTGTTTCTTCTGAATTCGCCTAGATTCTCGTATTTCCAGACGAATCGACTCATTTTCAGCCACAATACTCTCCATACGCTTCTTCATTTGATCCTGCTGACATTTTATCGATTTTTCGAAATCCGAAAATGACGATTTCAGAATTTTCAGACTTTCCGGTTTCTCCAATTCTTCATTATTATTTATTTCTGAAATTCGTGTGTCCTTGATTTCTTCGATCTCTTTTTGAAGCGAATCGATTTTGAATTGTTGAATTTCCCGCCATTTTTGAGATTCCTCGAGCTCGTCTGTCAGCTTTTTCACCAGTTTTTTGTGAGACTTTTGCTTTTTCGATTGATTTTCCAAAAAATTCTGGAAAACGGCGAGTTCTTTGTTCCCGACATGGTTAGGGATGCTCTGCAAAAATTCGATAATTTTCAGATTTAAACGGATAATTCATACTTTTTCAAGTTTGCAGTTGACATCTGTGATTTCAGTTTTGAGCGATTGAATTTTCGAAAAAAGCGTTTTTTCCGGCATCATCATTTTGCTGAAATTCGAAAAATTGGTTGAAAATCGAGCGAAATTCGAGAAAAAATAAAAAAATTCGGAAAAACAGTGAAAACAAGAATTACAGTACCTCAAAGGCGCATAACCTAAGCGTTAACCAACAAATTTTAAAATGTTCCTTTAAAGTACTGTAATATTAGAAAAAATAGTGAATTTCACCGATTTTCGCGAGTTTCAGTACTTTTCTGTGACTGAAATTTTTGTTTTTTTTTGTGTTAAAAATTAAAGACTTTGCTTGAATTGTTGAAAAAGCGAGCAAAATTCAGAGAAAAATCGGAAAAAATCGATGAAAAACAAAAAATTAGAAAACTACAGTACCTCAAAGGCGCAAAACCAAAGCGTTAGTTAGCGAATTTTGAAATGTTCCATTAAAGTACTGTATTTTAAAAAAATTCGAATTTTTGTTTGAAAATCTACAAAAGAGTCAAAACTAGTCGCAAAAATTGAAAAAAAAGGGAAAATCGGGAAAAGATTCGAGAAAGAGAGATTTTTGAGATTCTGCTGAGGGAATTTTGGGCGAATTGTCGGGCAAATTGCCCAGCTGGGCAAGGGTGTGGCATGGAGTGGGCATCAGTCTTGATGAATAGCTGCGCGAAAAAAATCAAGAGAAAGTGGTCGAGGGTTGGGCGAGATCTCGCCCAAGCCTTGTCCATGGTTTCCGTCACTTAAAACCGAACCGATGGAATCAAACTTCTGTAAAACCTGTAATAGAAGAGCCCCTGATTGTAACTTTGGAAAAAAGTTCGTCACAATATGAAATACATTTCCCTGGTTAAAATTTCTTGAAGTCAGC